CCGGGTTCGGTTCCCGCTAAGGGCACGTACTTCGGTTGCAGTTTGTCCCCGGCCCTGGTTGGTCGTGCGGGTGGCAGCCACTCGATGTGTCCCTTCACGTCGATGTTTCTCACTCTCTTCCTCTCTTTCCCTTCTACTCTATCCTAACAAAAAAATGAAAAAATGTCCTCAAGTGAGGATAAAAAAAAAAAAAAAAAAAAAAAAAAAAAAAAAAAAAAAAAAGAAATCATTAAAATGCCCTTCCTGGCAGGTTGCTCAGTGGTTAGAGCAATGGCCCAAGGACCAAAGAGTCTTGGGTTCGATTCCAGTCAAGGGCATGTACCTCGGTTGCGATTTGATCACTGACCCTAACCAGGGCCGTCAGGAGGCAACCAATCGATGTGTCTCTCTCACATCAATGTCTCACCCCCAACTCTATCTGAAAATCAGTGGAAAAATATCATCGGGTGAGTATTAAAAAAATAAATCATTAAAATGTAAATTTTATATTTAACCACAATAAAAACTTTTAAAGAATAGCATGCTGTTTAAAGATGTACATAGTAATGACAAAAGTATACCTGGTTTATCTTAAACTGGGTATGGCTAGAATCTCTCAGTGAAAAGCAGTGATATTTTTAAGAACTGGACCAGAGTTTAGGGGGTGAAGGGATCAGTAGTTGAGAGCCACCTTTAAGATCTGACTTTTTGTAAAATACATTTTAATCCTGGGCCTATTCTCTCCAAATCACCATTTCTTTTTTGTCTTTTCCTACAAACACCACGTGTTCATTCCAAAAGAGGTTCAGAGTTGGGTCTTTCCCCAACATCCTATCCTAAAAGTAAAAACTTAGATGTTCTAAGGCAGAGGTTCTCAGTAGGGGGTGATTTTGCCCCTCAGGGGACATTTGGCAATGTCTGGAGACATTCTTGGGTTGTCACTGGGTGGGGAGGATGTGCTCCTGGCACCTAGCTGGTGTAAGCCAGAGTGCTGCTAAACGTCACACAAGGCCCAGAATAGCCTCTCACAACAAAGAAGTAACTGGGCCAAAATGCCAATAATGTTGAGGTTGAGAAATTTCGTTCTATTGTTTTACTAAGTTACCTGATTTCTAGTAGAAATAGATCATAAATTAAGTTACTGCCTTTGCTTCCCTACTTTTTCTTTTCTTTTTACATCTTTTATAGAAAAAGACAAATCTAAGCATATATGCTCAAGGTAGGTCTTTCATTTTGAGGAAATAGGATAAGAATCAGGGCTGATGCTTTGATAACAAGTGGGGATAGGTGAGAGGAGGCTATTTTTGCTGCCAATCCTACCCATGATACTCTATGCCATGGGTCAAAGTGACACAGAGGGGGCCATGCTGTAGGGGACAGAGAAGAAAACAAAAAACCCAAGTGAAGCTAATGGAAGGCAGTGCCTATGCTATCTGGATTCATGGAGGCAATTTGGACACGAGGAAATACCTACGTACCTTAACAAGGTTATAACAAAAATATTTTAATTCAATTAATATTTTAAATCATGAACTTTACACAACTAAGCATATTTTTAATAAACTCAAAATATTATTTATGATTATCTAAAACTTGCCTTTCTTCTGAGGAACAGTAACCTAATAAGTATATAATACTACTGTGTCAGTAACAAAAAACAAATACTTTTATTTTCCTCTTGTATGATATTCAATAAGAACAGACCTGCTTTAGCAAGTTTAACTCATTTGGTATAATTTCAGTACCTTGAGAAATCCATTAACACTCTTAGGCCATTAGACCATTACTAATTCATTATTATGGTACACATTAAAATGGTGCCTTCTTACAAACATTTTGGAAAACTGACAGTAAGTACATACTAAAACTGAATACATGCATATCCATGACCCAGTAATTTCACTCCCAGGTATATAGCAACAGAACTGCATATATACACTCACCCAAAGACATGTGTAAGAATGTTCTTCACAGCACTATTCATAATAGCTCAGAACTAGAAATTTGTCAAATGCCCATCAATGGTAGAATGAATAAAATTTGGATATAATAAAATGGATATGAAATACTATTAAGCAATTGAAGTGAATGAACTACAAGTACATGCAACAATATAAATAACTCTCACTCTGGAGGTTGAATAATGGCCTCTAAAGATATCCACAACCTAATTCCTGGAATCTGTGACTGTTACTTTATATGGCAAAAAAGACTTTGCGGATGTGATTTAAATTAAGAATCTTGAAATGAGCAGATTATCCTGGATTATCTAGGTGGGCCCTCAGAGTAGAGACAGGAAGATTTGACTATAGAAGAAGAGATGATGATCTGATGATGAAAGCAGAAGCAGAAGCAGAAGCAGAAGCTTTGAACATGAAGGAAGGAGCCACAAGCCAAGGAAGATAAGCAGTCACTGGAAACTGAAAAAAAGGCAGAAAACAGATTTTCTACTCACAACCTCCAGATTCAGGAACCAAATGTGCTTATACATTGACTTTGGCCTAATGAAACTGACTTTGGACTTTTGATCTCCAGGACTGCAAGAAAGTAAATCTGTGTTGTTTATGTCACTAAGATTGTGGTAATCTGTTACAGTGGCCTCAGGAAAACAGTACTTACAAATAGAATGAGCAAAAAAAAAACAAACAAAAAAACTTGTAATATTATATATATGATTGCATTTACATAAAGTAAAAGATAGACAAAACTAATCTATGGTTTTATTAGTCTCAATAGTAGTTACTTCTGGGGAAGAAGAAAGACAATGTTAAGATAGGGGCAAGAGGAGGGTTTCTGAGGTGCTCATAATGCTCTGTGTCTTGGTCTGAGAGATGCTGATATGAGCATGCTTAATTTGTGAAAACTCTTATTTGTGTATCCTTCTATATGTATGGTGTGTGGTTTTAAAACTGGTGCCTTTTCAACACTTAACAATCTGATAGTCTGCTGAAAGAGAAGATATATATTCAAGGAGGTGGGGAAAACACTTACTAAACAATAACTTTATTTCTCAAGAACACTAAAAATTTGCTTCTCTCTAAAAGATTTTAAAAAATATCAACAACAGACAAAACAGTGACTTTGAAATGCTAAAAAAACAAAAACAAAAAAAACCACAGCTAAAAGTAAAACATTACTTAATTAGCTTTGTTATACCTGGACCCTAGAACTGTAAATTACAAAAATACAAGTAAAACCACATTTTCTTAAATAACAGTAAACAAAGGAGAAAGTCAGGTACTACATACTAAATGATCAAAATGTCTTTTGGGCCTAAGATTCTTGAAACTAGTAAAAATGTTAGTAACAGAAAAATCCTGCCATTAATCTGTATAGGTAATTAAATATAAAAACAATTTATAAAACACATCAGAATTTTATTGCTTGAAGAATACAGCATATGAAATCACAAGAATGTCCAAATGCAAAGTCACTAGGCTTCAAACATATAATACATTATCAGATGCAGTAAAATATTAATTAACCTGAACTCTGCATCAGAAAAAAAAAAAAGGTGTGGAAAAATATCTAAGTTGTTTACTTAAGAAACAGATACACTTAAAATAGCAAGTATAAGGATATTACAGTACAAATTAGAAAAGCCAACACTTATTAACTTACTGTGTCTTAGACCAGACCACCTTTGGTACTTAAACTTCAAAAAAAAAAAAAAAAAAAAAAATCCCTTCTATTTTGTCCAAAGCGCATCATAGATACAATATCAATTTCAACTTAAAACATTCAGCAAAATCAACCTTTTCGCGGCATGAGGGAAGTGTATTTAATAAATGTATATATAACAATACATCACTTTTTCTAAAACTGCAAGATATGATCATTAAGAAATCTAATACTTGTAAACTTTACTTATTTAGCTCTCCAATTAAAATTGGAATCCTGGCAGCCACAGATTATCCTTGGGCTTGGTAAATATAGAAATTTAAATCATTTGGCAACTGACAAAGGAATTTAGATTACTTCATACTATCTTAAGTGGCTTTTCTGTTCTGTTTCCAAAATACAAACAAGATGCCATTTCTTCAACACACTTGATTCCTATAAAAATCACTACCATACTTTATTTATTAGACTCAAATTAAGGCTTCCTCCCTTCAGATAAGCAGGTTAAAACTACTTTTTATGTTTCAGATAGGGCTGATTAGTTATGATATGCTTTTTTAAACAAAACAAATCAATTTTTAAAGCTATCACTCTATGATGGAGACAATGATGCTCTTTCAAAAGGAAGCATTGGACACTGTAGGTCATCTAGTGAAGAAAATGTAAGAGTAATGCTAAAAACAAACAATAAGTAAACTATAACTATAGTTTAATAGTTAAATTACAAAAAATCCCTCTTTTACAGCAAGCATGCTCATTAACTTTCTTTCCTTTCCCCCAGCAAAGTTTTGAATAGTTATTAACCTCAGTTAAACCAATAGAACCTAAGCAATTGTTTCACAAGTTCCAATAGACATGGATTGGCTACGCAAGTAATACTATTGACAATTATTGGAGTGAAATTAAGTCCTCAAAATTGGGCAGTCTCTGAAATGTAATAGTGTAGTTCAAGACAAATTATGCCATAATAAAACAGGTTTTACCTCTACATAAAACAAAAACAAAATAAAAAACGTAACCTGCTAAATTTATACAACTACTATGGAACGTACTCCTCTTGCCTAGTTTTTGAATGTCTTGTTTTGAAATTCTTTCAAACAAGTATATTTATCTGAGCACATATATATATATATGTGTGTGTGTATATGTATACACACATACATATATGTATATAATTGCCTATATATATACTCATTTTAAAGACAAAAAAAACCCAGATATGACAGAACCAAACTCTTTGTTGTTGTTTTTTCACCAATCTGATCTAATGCCTGCTGCATTACATAGCACTCCCTCCCCAATAATTTAATATTCCCAATTTTTAGTTTAGTTAAAAGGGCAGAGGAAATGAAAATGCAGATTTAGAGTTTCTGTATAAATTTCACTGTATTTTTATAAACTTGAAGTTTTCTGTAACACTGTTTATTGATCAATAAAGGACTCACTGCTATCTAAAATCTCATAAACACCATTAAAAATTCAAAATTGACATTATACTGAACCTTAAGTTTTCAATAGTTCAAAGAGACAGTTTTTACATGAATAGTACACAATAGATGAAAGTTAATAGCAGACATCCCTAGGGTACCAGTGGCAAGTCCACCAAGATGCATACGAAATTACAGATAAGCATTTCTTTCACTGTTTTCTTGTGCGGGGATAAACATTTATAGAGGAAATAGAACCTCGGCTGGTGAAGTTCAGATATCATCATCATCATCTTCATCCTGAGAAGATCCTGCCTGGTTAGATGCACTGGCTGAGGCAGCAGCAAGCTGTGCTTGTTGGGCAGCTTGCTGCATTTGAAGCCATTCCTGCTGGGCCAGTTCTGCTTGTTGCTGTCTAGCCTAAACACCAAAAAACATAAAAACAAATGATTTTTAAAAAGCTCACCTATACACACTTCGGTTAATTGCAGACACAGTCATGAACAAATCTAGATATTTTCCAAGTACTATTTAACAGCTGTACATCTGGAGAACAGAAACTCTATGAGATTGGTTTTCTTACAGATAGTGCCCTTTTTTATGTATATAACTTATGACCTTTGGTTCAACTGAAAAAGCTAAAAAAGTTGACAGAAAAACAATATTCTCTCTTTGTTTCCTTACCTGTGTTTCTCTTTTCCTTTTGTTTCACTTGATTCTTCTGTCCTCTCAACTTACAATTTTGATTTAAACAATTTTTTTGGTAGTTTAAAAGCTCTCTACTATAGTACCCCTAACTTAGGGAAAAGTACTATACACAAATACAATAGCTATCTTCATATTTCTTTTGAGTTTCTATCACAACTTGTGATATATACATCTCTTTTTCTGTCCCTCTCCTTCCACATGCATATACACATACACCCTTCCCATATACACATTAGTGAAAAGACACTTACCAAAGACTGAATTTAAATGGGATAGTTAAAATCCATTCATTTGACATATCTATCCTCTATAAAAACCACAGAATTTTATAAACCAAGATGTATACATATGCAATACATGCTCTGTGACAATAGGTAATACCACTTCTCAATTTACATGCACTGCTGAAAGAGCTAAGACTCCTTCACAATGTAATTTCATCCATTAGCAGAAAAACCACATGAAAATAAGAAAAGAAAAATCTGTTATTGAAAAGATCATATAATTTCATATTAAACAACACCAAACAACGCTGTTTCTCCCTCTAAGACTTTTCTCATAATTGTTCCTTAAGCCTGGCTCATACCCTCCTTTACGTACAGTCAATTCCTAGTCATCATTTAAAACATAAATTAGCCCTGGCCGGCTTGGCTCAGTGATTAGAGTGTTGGCCTGCGGTCCAGAGAAACCAGGGTTCGGTTCCCGCTAAGGGTATGTACCTCGGTTGCAGTTTGTCCCCGGCCCCGGTTGGGTTGTGCGGGTGGCAGCCACTTGATGTGTCCCTTTTACGTCGATGTTTCTCTCTCTCTCCTTCCCACTCTATCTGAACAAAAAATGGAAAAATGTCCTCGGGTGAGGATAAAAAAATAAATAAAACACAAATCAGTTAGTCTTTCTTGACCCTTCTAGGTCATATTTTGTGCTCTATTTCTTCTTCTTCTTTTTTTTAATGTTTTCCCTTTTATTGATATTAGAGAGAGGAAGGGAGAGGGAGAGAGAGATAGAAACATTGATGAGAGAGAATATCAATTGGCTGCCTCCTGCATGCCCCCCTCTGGGGATCGGGCCCATAAGCTGGGCACGTGTCCTGACCGGGAATCGAACCAGTGATCTCTTAGTGCATGGGCTGATGCTCAACCACTGAGGCACACCGGCCGAGTGTGCTCTATATCATATGCCATAATTCTCTATGCATTTCCATACTTTGTTCTCTAATTATCTGAGTATATGTCTTTTTTCTCCACTAGAGAATAAAGGCTGTTTTTATATTTATTATTGGATTACCAGTACATAGCTCCCCCCCCCCCTATATTTTCTGAATTAATGTTTTGTGGGAAAACAGTGATGCTCAGCATAACCTTCACATTCCTAACTTTTTTAAAAGAGTTTTTAAATTGATTTTTTGAGAGAGGGGAAAGGAGGGAGAGATAGAAACATCAATGTGCCCTGGCCGGTTTGGCTCAGCAGTTAGAGCGTCGGCCTGCGGTCCGGAGAGACCCGGGTTCGGTTCCCGCTAAGGGCACATACTTCGGTTGCAGTCTGTCCCCGGCCCTGGTTGGTCGTGTGGGTAGCAACCACTCGATGTGTCCCTTCACGTCGATGTTTCTCTCTCTCTCCCTTACCTCTCTTCCTCCCACTCTATCTGTACAGGAAATGGAAAAATATCCTCGGGTGAGGATAAAAAACAAACAAACAAAAAAAGAAACATCAATGTGAGAGAGAAATATCAATCAGCCGCCTCCTGCACTCACCACCCACAGAGGATCAAGCCTGCAACCGCTGGCAGGTGCCCTGACTGGGAATTGAACCGGGACCTCTCAGCCCATGGAACAATACTCAATCCACTGAGTCACACTGGCTGGGTACACCTAACTTTTCTTAATAATCTGTCATGAATTTATTATCAAACATTTCTAGAGGAGAATTTTAATCAGGTCATTATTATACTTTTAAAAAATCATTTAGCCTAGCCGGTGTGGCTCAGTGGTTGAGCATCGACCAATGAACCAAAAGGTGGCTGGTTCAATTCCTGGTCAGGAAACATGCCTAGGTTGTGGGCCTGATCCCAGTGGGGGCCATGCAGGAGGTGGTCGGTTGATGTTCTCTCTCAATGATGTTTCTCTCTCCCTCTCCCTTCCTCTCTCTCTAAAAAAATCAATATTGATTTAAATATATATATTTAATCCTCACCTGAGTATATTTTCCCCTTTATCTTCAGATAGAGTGGGAGAGGGGGAGAAAAAGAGAGAGAGAGAGAATGAATCACTGACGTGAGAGGGACATATCAACTGGCTACTTCCTGCATGACCCTGACCAGGGCGGGGGATGAACCGCAACCAAGGTATGTGCCCTTGACCAGAATCGAACCCGCGACTCTTCGGGCTGACGCTCTAACCACTGAGCCAAACAGGCCACGGCAAGAAAAAATATATATATTATTTTTTTTATCCTCACCTGAGGACACTTTTTCACTTTTTGTTCAATAGAGTGGGAGGGAGAGAGAGGAAGAGAGAGAGAGAAACATTGAAGCGAAAGGGACACATCGAGTGGCTACCAACCACACAAGCCAACCAGGGCCGGGGACAAACTACAAGCAAGATACGTGCCCTTTGCAGGAACCAAACCTGGGTCTCTCTGGACCGCAGGCCGATGCTCTAACCGCTGAGCCAAATTGGCCAGGGCAAGAAAAAATATTAAATAAAAATCATTTAATTGTTACCATTTAAGTCCAAATTTCTTATCCTGTAGTTCAAGGTCCTCCAAATTACTGCCTGCCCCAATCTCTCTAATCTTTTTTTGTAACATGTACCTTGTACTAAAAAAAACAAAAAAAACCCCAAAAACAAACTAGAACATAAAATGTTTCCTATATACCATCCCTCACATTTTCACTACATTTACTTATGCTGATATTCATTCTATTTGAAATTTCCTGATTTTTACCTACTAAAATTCCACTCTTCCTTCAAGTCAAACTGAAATACTATTTTCCACTAAGTTTTTCCCTTATTCCTCCCATCTAATCAGGAGATAGAAGTAACACTAGTTAGGAAAACAGAAAGAATGTAATATAAAGGATTGTTAACCAAGTATAAAGTTGGCAACTAGGTAAGTAAAAAAAACAAGAAAAAATACTAAGGTATAATGCAGGTGGCAACTATATAGGGCAGCCACCATTCCTAAAAATGGGGTGTGTGTACAGGAGAAATGCCTGGAATTTTTAAAACTTAGGAGCTTAGAGGAGCAACCCATGAAACTGAAATTCAGACCCCTGAAGGGGCATTGATTGACTGGTACTAGAATCTCTGAGCTTGGAAGAGGGCCCCAAAATTTGAGACTCACATCTTTGAGGAAAGATGAATATTCAGGCTGTTTCTGTAAGTATTACAGAAACTGCGAGCTAGATTCAATTCCTGCTACAGGAAAAAACTGATGCAGCCAGGACGGAGAAGCATGGTTAGGTTGCTCAAAAGAACTAGAAATTAACAGGAAGTAAAAGAAAGAAGCCCAAGTGCTGCCTTCCTCCTCCAGCCTGGCAATCTCCCTCTACAGCCCCTTACCCGCTACCGACAATTATAGTCTCATGGTCGTCAACTAGAGAAGTGGAAAAGTGGTTTACAAAGGACAAGGCCCTGTCACAAAGTGGAGCACAGAAAGATGGGTTTCAGGCTGAGACAACTGCTTAGTAATTGGCACACTCCCATACTACCAAAATTGAATATGATGTCTCTGTACTTTGGATCTCTTTATATCTTCCTCATGAGAGTAGCCAGGCCCATATTATAGTTGTTAGTGTACCTATATTATACCTCCACTGCAAATCCTTTTTTTTTTGTTTAGGAAATTATAAACCAGTTATTCTAATAACCACTTTCCCCATTTTTATGAAGAAATATGGAAAATAGTTATTCTAACACACAGGCATATTTACTTTTATGGCAGAAATACTCAGTTCAAAATAGACTAAGAGTGCTTCACGAAAAATGTTTTAAGAGTTCATAAGAAAATTGTAGGTCAAAATAAATATGTGAATTTATCAACTTAAGAATATCTACTCTGCCCTGGCCAGTTTTGCTCGGTGGTTAGAGCGTCGGCCTGCGGTCCAGAGAGACCAGGGTTCCGTTCCCGCTAAGGGCATGTACCTCAGTTGCAGTTTGTCCCTGGCCCTGGTTGGGTTGTGTGGGTGGCAACCACTCAATGTGTCCCTTTCACGGCGATGTTCCTCTCTCTCTCTCTCTCCCTCCCACTCTATCTGAACAAAAAACAAAAAAATGTGCTCAGGTGAGGATAAAAAAAAAAAGAATACCTACTCTGTGGCCTGGCCAGTGTTGTTCAGTGGTTAGAGTGCCAGCCCACACACCAAAGGGTCTCAGGCTTGATTCCTGGTCAGTGACATGTACCTGGGTAGCAGGGTCAATCCCAGCCCTAGTTGGGGCATGTGGGGGAGGCAATCAATCGATGAGTCTCTTTCACATCAATGTTTCTCTCCGCCCCACCCCTTCCCTCCCTTCCACTCTAAGAATCAATAAAAAAAAATCCTCAGGTGTGGATTAGCCAAAAACAAAAACAAAAAACTATTCTGTGGCCTAATCAACAATAAATACGTATAATTTTGTAGCACAGAAAAAAATATCAAGTCTCTATATGGGTTTTATTGTAAAGGTGCATAATCTTGTCGTTTCTTCAATGACGTGCAAAGACATGTAGTGAGTATATTTAAAATTTAACTGACTTTAAGGTAACATGCTCCCATATCAGCTCCCATACTTTTCTTTTTATTTATTTAATTTTTTTTTGGTTAATCCTCACTCAAGGATCTTTTTCCATTGATTTTTAGAGAGTGGAAGGGAGAAAGAGAGAGAAACATTGATGTGAGAGACATATCGACTGGTTGCCTCCCACACGACCCCAACCAGGTCAGGGATCGAACCTGTAACCCAGGTATGTGCCCATGACTGGGAATCGAACCCAAGACCCTTAAGTCTTCGGACTGACTGAGCCAAACCGGCCACGGTCATACTTTTCTCTCTAAACATAAAAGCATTCTTATGCCACCCTGGCTGGTTTGGGTCAGTGGTTAGAGCACTGGCCCTCGGACCAACGAGCCACGGGTTCGATTCTGGTCAAGAGCATGTACCTCAGTTGCGGTTCATTCCCGGCCCTCCTGTGGTTGTCCTGGAGGCTACCAATTGATGTGATCCTCTCATGTCGATGTTTCTCTCTCTCTCTCTCCCTCCCTCCCTCCCACTCTATCTGAAGATAAATAGAAAAAAATGTCCACGGGTGAGGATTGAAAAAATAATTAAAAAAAAGCATTCTTGTGCCTTTAAAATAATTGTTGATTGATACATTTTATTCGTATTCATTTCCACAAATTAAAATTTTGAATAGTATGTATTCTAATTTCTTTTTCCCCTCTTGCTTCTTACCCCATCCATCTCAAATATTTTCCTGCTAAAATGGGAGTGTGAAAGAGAGTTAAAAGTTAGCATATGTTTCCTAACTCACTTCTTCTTTTGGAAATTTCCACTATGTTTTACAATTCTCACTCTTCCATACTAAAATGACTCATTTATAATTTATAGTTAACTTTCATCTTGCCCTGGCTGGTTTGGCTCAGTGGTTAGAGCGTTGGCCTGTGGTCCAGAGAGACCCAGGTTCTGTTCCTGCTGAGGGCATGTACCTCAGGTGCAGTTTGCCCCCCGGCCCTGGTTGGGTTGTGTGGGTGACAGCCATTCGATGTGTCCCTTTCACATCAATGTTTCTCTCTCTCTCTCTCTCTCTCTCTCTCTCTCTCTCTCTCCCTCCCTCCCTCCCTCCCTCCCTCCTATCTGAACAAAAAAATGAAAAAAAAATCTCAGGTAAGGATAAAAAAAGAAAAACAAAAAAACTTTCATCTTGATTTTGAATGTTTTCCCCTTTCCAAATATTTGCAGCTAGCAGTGAAAGGTTCAAATGAGGCTGCTACTGTGCATTTATTTATTTATTTATTGGTTAATCCTCATCCAAGTCCACCGAGAGAGAGAGTAGAAGGAAGGGGGGAAAATGGGGGAAAGGGGAAGGAAACGAGGGGGGGTGAGAGAGAGAGAGAAACATCGACGTGAGAGAGACACATAGATTGGTTGCCCTTCAACTGACCTGGCCAGGGACCAAACCTGCAACCCAGGTATGTGCCCTTGACTGGGAATCAAACCCACTACACTTCAGTGAGAGAGCAGATGCTCTAACCACTTAGCAGAACTGGCCAGAGCTGCTACTGAGTATTTCAAATAAAATCTAAAAGATGAAGTAAAATGGCCCAACCCATGCACCAAGAGGTTGTCGGTTCGATTCCCAGTCAGGGCACATGCCCAGGTTGTGGGCCCAATCCCCAGTAGGGGGCATACAGGAGGCAACCAATCGATGTTCTCTCTCATCAATGTTTCTGTCTCTCTCTCCATCTCCCTTCCTCTCTCTCTAAAACATCAATAAAGAAATTAAAAAAAAAAAAAGACGAAGTAAAATGAAAGTGATGAAAAAGATGCTATATTTACTTATCAGTTCCTTTCAGATTTAGGACTTAAGTACTTTGTGCTCTAAGGAAGAAGCACTAGGCAGCTGCTCTAATTTTACCTCTCTGCTAATTTCCTCACTAGAGCAAAGAATCTTTACTCATATATCAATGCAAGAAAAAAGGGTGATAAGGAAGAGAAAATAAAATGCAGATGACAGGGAGAGAGAGAAGACAGATTTGGCAAGCAGTCAATTATTTCTTTCATTCCTTTTTTTGCCCTAGAAAGTATAAAGCATGTTCCACTTAAAAATCCCAAAATAGCCAGTGGATTGAGCGTCATCCCATGGACTGAGAGGTCCCGGTTTGATTCCAGGTCAGGGCACATGCCAGGGTTGTAGGCTCAGTCCTCAGTAGGGGGCATGCAGGAGGCAGCTGATAGATGTCTCTCTCTCATATCAATGTTTCTCTCTTTCCCTTCCTCTCTCTAAAAATAAACAAATAAATAAATATTTTTAAAAATTCCAAAATAAATTTAAGTAGATAAAAAGGTGGCTAGAGCTTTAGAATGGTATTGTAGGAAGAGCACAGGTTTTAGAGTCAAAAGATAGGAGTTTGAATTGAGACTCTAATATTTTCTAACTGTATGAACTTCTTTGTTTTATTTGTTTAACTCAATTCTCCCTAATAAACTAAGCTCTGTAATGATAGAGACTATGTCTCTTTTGTATACTGGTGTAAGCCTAGCACCTAGCACTGTGTCTGGTAAATAGTGAGGACTTTAGTAAATATTTGCAGAACAAATGAGTGAATGATCTCAAGCAAGTTTCTCCATCTCTGAGTGTTTTTTAATGTATAAATGGATATAATAAAATTTATATTATACACAAAAACTCTGCAAAGTATGTAAAGCATTTAGTGGAACATGTTTTTCCTTTCATCAACTATTTAATTTGGCATCATCTAGGTGATTTGCAATAGTAAAGAATCAATAAAAGATATCCACTAATATATATTTTTTAAAATCCCCACTGAGGACATGTTCCTAATGATTCTAGAGAGAGGAAAGAGGAGAGGGAGAGAGAGAAATTTCAATGTGAGAAACTTCAATTGGTTGCCTCCTGTACATACCCCAACTGGGGATCCAACCAGCAACCCTGGTATGTTCCCTGACCAGGAATTGAACCCGCCACCTTTTGGTGTACAGAACGATGCTCCAGCCAACTGAGCCACTTGACCCAAGCTAATGTTTTTTGTTTCGTTTTTTTGTTTGTTTGTTTGTTTTTTAACTCATTGCTCCTTCTTTGTTACCTTATATTCATATGTACACTGTTTGCAGGTGTTCACGCCTGCCTCAAAGGCTTGTCCTCTTTAGTACTTACAGATTTTAACATGTATACTCATAGGTTGTTATCTCATAGGTTGTTCTGAGGATTAAATAAAATAGTACAGTTAAATTATTTGGCAACATGATTTCAATAAATGTCATATGGTATCTAGTATCTGATAACACTTAAAACTCAAATGCCTTTGACATAAACCCAATTGGTGGTTACAAAAGAATCAGCTATAGTCCAGCCGATGTGGCTCAGTGGTTGAGCATCGACTCATGCACCAAGAGGTCGCCAGTTCGATTCCCGGTCAGGGCACATGCCCAGGTTGTGGGCCTGATTCCCGGTAAGGGGCATGCCGGAGGTGGCCAATCGATGTTCTGTCTCATCGATGTTTCTCTGTTTCTCTCTCTCTCTCTCTCTTTCTCTCTCACTCACTTCCTTTCTCTGTAAAATCAATAAAGGAAAAAAATTAAAAAAAAAAAATCAGTCACAGTGCTAATCTGGAATAGATTACCTAAAATTACACTTCCCAGTTGTAATGATCACTACAGTAACTGGTAGGAAAACTTACTTCTTTTATTCAACCCAAAACTGCATTACAATTTCAAGTAAGAGGTCAGATCTTAGTAGGGAAAAAAAAAAGCCTTACCTCCTCCCCTCTTTTTTGAAAATAGGGGGATATTAGTAGTCAGGTGCTAATCCTTCACAGACTGGGTATTAGAACTGTACCAAGCAAGAAATAAGAAAAGTTGTCTCCTTTTATCTGTTCCACTGGTCCTTCAAATATTAAGATTAGAGTGTTTTAAAAGTGTACTAAAGATCTAAGTACCAAGTAGATGTTAATCAGGTTTTCCTTAGATGCCACTCATCATAAATTTTTACAGACCATTCTCACTAGCTCATCATTTTATTTGTTTGATTGTTTTTTTTGTGTGGGGGGGGGTACGTGCCCCTAGCGGGAACAGAACCCGGGACTCTCTGGTCCACAGGCCGATGCTCCAACTGCTGAGCCAAACCGGCCAGGGCGGCTCATCATTTTATTTTATTTATTTTTATAAATCTCACCCGGAAATACTTTTCCATTTATCTTCAGATAGAATGAGAGTGGGGGAGAGGGAGAGAGGGGAAGAGAGATAGAGATAGAGATAGGGATAAACATTGATGTGAGAAAGACACAGAAACTGAGGTAAATGCCCTTGACCAGAATTGAACTTGAGACTCTGGTCTGCGGGCCAACACTCTAACACTGAGCAAAACCAGCCAGGGCATCAGCTCATTATTTTAAATTTTAAGAATGCTTAGATATACTTTTCATGCTTTTAAAAGTCATGCTTTCTGGGTAAAAAAAAAAAAAAAAAGCCCTGGCCGGTTTGGCTCAGTGGTTAGAGCGTCGGCCTGCGGTCCGGAGAGACCCGGGTTCGGTTCCCGCTAAGGGCATGTACCTCGGTTGCGGTCTGTCCCCGGCCCTGGTCGGTCGTGTGAGTGGCAGCCACTCGATGTGTTCCTTTCATATCGATGTTTCTCTCTCTCTCTCTGTTCCTCTCTCTCCCTCCCACTCTACCTGAACAAAAAATAGAAAGATGTCCTCAGGTGAGGATAAAAAAAAAAAAAAAAAATCAAAGTAAAATCTCAGTAGTTATTTGGAGTCACTCTCTTTAGAAAACAGGTGGCTATTTACTTTCACACGAAGTAAGTAACTGGTCAAATAGAGCCAAACTGATCATCTATCTCTACGAAACATCAGACTCTATGATCAAATAATCAGTCACAGAAAGAAAATACTCTGAGGTAACTTGATTTAGAAAATTATTTCAGAAACCAGTCTGATTTCTATTAGCAACCAGGGTAGGATTCAGATGAAAATAATTTAAAATACATTACTTACTTTTGCAAATAATTCCTGTTGCTGTCTCAATAACTCTTCTTCAGGAATGCCAAGGTTTTCCAAACGAGAACTGGCCTTTCTTCTTTTTAATGCTACAGTCTTGCATTCTTGTAAAACTTCTTTCACTTCACTGATATAAGAGCCAAAGCCCAAACTTTCTAGGGCTAGAGAAATGAAAATATGAAAGAATGCTAGAATACAGCTTTTCCTCTACATATGGAATTTTAGGTTTTTGTTTTATTTTGTTTTTGAGGAGGAGGTGGTTGCTTCCTAATAATTTTTACCTATTTTTTAGTTGCACAGCAATTATCTGGATGGCTATGACAAAATATTTTATCAACTTTCTTAATATTAGATCACAAATTAGTTAAAACTTAAGAAACATTTCAAGGCACAGGCATGCCCTTTGTCCTTTCTTTATAAATTAAAAAAAACCAAAGCATTTCCTGTGAGAAAAAAAAGTCCAATGTAAGAACATGTGGTTTTAGTAAGAAAACATTTTTCTTACACCACTCATAGTAAATCAAAAATCAAGTCAGTCACTTTTTCAAAGGATACAAAGAAAGCAAATATTTTGAATATATTAGTTAATAACATATTTTGTGCCATTTGGCTTTTAAAAAGTAGGCTTTGGTAACACATGCTCTAAATTTCAGTAGGATAGAATTAAAGAATAGATAAATTCTTTTATCCAATATACTAACAGGAACTATTTTTAGCAAAGACACTCAAACTGCCAAGTTTAAGAAATACTGGTGGAAATAACTTATGAAATTCAGCATTTATATTCAGCCAACGAATTTCCCTTGAAAATAAAACTTAACAGGAAGCACTATTAAAACATTCAAGTGGTGTGGCAGGAAAACTGGGATAAAGGATGATTATAAGGCTAGAAGAAGCATTAACAAAAAATTATTTTTTCACATTCTGAAAGAAAATTTTACAAGAAAATGCACTAAGTGCTTTCTGTAATCCAGAAAAACAAGACATATAATTTCTTTTTGGCTCATAGTATTTAAAGTGATATTATATAGTTCTACAAGTTGATATTATATAGTTCTACAAGGGCCTAAGACATATTTTTGTTTTCTGGGCCAATGATGAAATAGAGGTAGTAAGAAAACACAGTAAATTAACTTTATTTAGTTAATCAATTCATATAGTCTTTTAACAATTATGATGAACCAAACTGCCCTCAGTACAGATGTCCTAAATTCTACCTTCAGGGATTTACTCTTCAGGGAGAATACCAAATATACTTTACAAATCCACATTCCTATGTAAGCTGTGATTTTTAAGATATTTTAAATGATTTCAACTTTAATTACTTCAAATGTTAAACTAATTTCACCAGTCTTCTTTAGAAATAATCTGATGCCAAAAAGCAGAATATTATTACTTGAATTTTAATTAAGGTAACTTACTGACCATACCTTGCTACCCAAAAAATTTCAATAACATTATTCTGAGTTCTGTATATCAAATTAACTGCTGTATAATTCTTGGCCTTAAGAAGCTTAGGGTATAGCAGAAAATTAAGTGAAGATTAGCAACCTGCATTTTTCACTTGAATTAATTGACTGATTATTTTTATTTATTTATTTATTTTTGGTACGTGCCCCTAGCAGGAACCAAACCTGGGACTCCTGGTCTGCAGGCAGACGCTCTGACCGCTGAGCCAAACTGGCCAGGGCTAGACTGATTATTTTTGAAATGTCAGTGCTAGACACCAACATTTTTTCTTTTTTAAAAGCACAAGCATAGTAGTGTATTTTCAATATCGGCTGGAGACAAAACCAAAAGAAACCAAGCGAATGGTTTATGATTCTAAAGAATGTCTTACTTCCTTAGCCCTATACCAAAGTCCTCCAGGATGTAGCCCCATCAACCTTTCCAGCCTTACTTCTGCCATTATTAAATCCCTGCATACTTCTACTAAATCTGACTGCTCAGTGTTTCACAGCAGGCACCAGTTTCCCACATAATGCATTTAAGGCCCAGATCAAACTGTATCTTCAAATTAAGCTTGCCTGATTCTCCTAGACAGAAATAATCTCCCCTTTTGAAATCAGACAGATGTAGAATTTAAGACTTGGTTGTCATTGCATTTGTACTGTATAACCTTGGATACATTGCTTAACATCTCTAAGCTTCAGTTTTCTATATCTAAAATGAGAGTAGAATTTATTCCACAATATCTTCCTACAACCAGAGCTGTATAGTGGGTAAGCATGCAGGCCTTAAGTCTGCCAGGGACTGAGCCCCCAGCTCTACCTCATATTAGCTATGTGACCCTACATAAGTTCCTTCACCTTTGCCCTTAAAAATAAGAATAACATTACCTACATCTCATCAGACCAGACTGCTGTGAATAAATGAATTAATATAAATAAAGAGGTTAGAACAGAAGTTGGCCCATTGAAGAAGCAACATAAAATATTCACTATTATATTTATATTCACTATTATAGTTCTAGGGTTGTAGGAATGAACTAAGTAATTAATCTAAGGGATTTAACAGTGTCTAGCACATAAGAGTAGCTTAATGGACTTAGACTATGCGTTATTCATCCTTATTTTTTCTCTTACATTTAAAAGATTACCCTAGTAAGGATATAGGACCTAAATAAATAGTTATGCATTATCATACCTAAATTCAAGCTGAACAAGTGTATTTATATTAAATTACCAAATCAATGCAATAGAGAGATACCTCTTTGAAATGTCATGAATTACCTGACTAGACATTTAAAAAATTCATTTCAGCCCCGGCCGGTTTGGCTCAGCGGTTAGAGCATTGGCCTGCGGTCTGGAGAGACCCGGATTCAGTTCTAAGGGCATGTACCTTGGTTGCAGTTTGTCCCTGGCCCTGGTTGGGTCGTGTGGGTGGCAACCACTCGGTGTGTCCCTTTCACATTGATGTTTCTCTCTCTCTCTCTCTCCTTCCCACTCTATCTGAACAAAATATCAAAATAAATAAATAAATAAATGTCCTCGGGTGAGGATAAAAAAAAATTCATTTCAAACTACCATTAACCATGTTTGGTTAAAAATTAACAAAACAACTCACCTTTAAAAACATATAAGGTTGAGAACACTGCTTTCAAAAAGTAAATCCAAGGCTAATTTTTATTATTCAATGAGCTTCTACATACAAATATTATACTCACACAATACAATGGTTCAACAGGAACAGCCATAAATTTAAATTCAAAAACTGAATTGACTTAAATGCAAATTTTAAATACATTTTGGCGAACATTAATAACTGAATGCAGTAGCTTCTAAATAGGGAGATAGATATTTTACATCATTCTTTATCATGTAACAGTAATCATTCCCATTTTACACAAAGTAGAATCTTTTTTCTTTTTTTTTGTTCAGATAGAGTGGGAGGGAGGGAGAGGAAGAGAGAAAGAGAAACATCGTCGTGAAAGGGACACATCAAGTGGCTGCCACCCACATGACCCAACCAGAACCGGGGACAAACTGCAACCAAGATACATGCCCTTAGCGGGAACTGAACCCGGGTCTCTTAGGACCACAGGCCGATGCTCTAACTGCTGAGCAAAACCGGCCAGGGCACCAAGTAGAATCTTAAAGGATAAGGGAAATGACTCTTAAGAAGGCCACTATTTATGGTTATGCAGGCTGTTCAATGCACAACAGTACCATATCTATGGAAGGCCACTCATACCGTAATGATAGATTTGTATGTTTATAAAATAGTGTTATAATTTATATGCTAAAATGTGTGCTTTTTCTGGCAGATTGTGGTAAAGGTTTTTAAGGAAAGAGTGACTTTTTCTAATACATACAAAGGGACTTTATGGAATGTTAAAGGCCCTGGCTCCAAGGATCTCAGTGTAAAATCCAAAAAAATAATTAAAAAAAAATGTGTAGGTAAACACACATCACTTGTTCCTCAGAGATCTGGCTGCTACCCTCTGCCATTTATCTGAAAACTATACCCAGAAAAGTACATGGTATATTGGGCAGGGGGGAATTATTTAGCATACTTTTCAATTTGAAAGATAGATGTTAACAAGATACCCACTTTAAAAAAAAAAAAAAAATGACCCAGTGATCCCACTTCTAGGAATATACCCTAAGAAGCCTGAAACACCAATCAGAAAGAATATATGTACCCCCATGTTCGTAGCAGCAATATTTACAATAGCTAAGATCTGGAAACAACCCAAATGTCCATCAGATGAATGGATAAAAAAGCTGTGAGACATATATACAATGGAGTACTATGCAGCTATAAGAAAGATCTCTTGCCCTGGCCAGTTTGGCTCAGCGGTTAGAGCGTCAGCCTGCGGTCCAGAGAGACCCGGGTTCGGTTCCCGCTAAGGGCATGTACTTCGGTTGCAGTTTGTCCCCGGCCCTGGTTGGTCGTGCGGGTGGCAGCCACTCGATGTGTCCCTTCATGTCGATGTTTCTCTCTCTCTCTCCCTTCCTCTCTCTCCCTCCCACTCTATCTGTACAAAAAATGGAAAAATATCCTCAGGTGAGGATAAAAAAAAAAAAAAAAAGATCTCTTATCCTTTGAGACGACATGGTGAGACCTGGAGAGTATTATCCCAAGCGAAACAAGCCAGGCAGAGAAAGACAAAAATCACATGATCTCACTTATTTGTGGAATATAATGAGCATAACAGTCTGAGGAATGGGGTAATCCCAGAGACGTGGAAGTGGGGTACAGACTGACAATCCCTAGAAGAGGGGGGTGGTGGGGGAGAGATAAACCACAGGACTTATATGCATGTATGCATGAACAACTGACATGGACAACAAAGCTGAGGACAGGCCGGGGAGGGAGGGGCAGGGGGGAAAAAGGAGAAACATCTGTAATAAAAACAAATTTTAAAAAAAAGAGAGTAAAAACTTCCACCAGCAATAATATTTGTAATACAGGCTTGGCTTATTTTACAAAAATGATGCAATCCTGAAAAGTTTAATTTTAACAAAAATTTACTTGAATTACTTTATACTTCAAAACATAATGCATATCTTTCTTTCTCTCCTTCCTTCCTTCCTTCCTTCCTTCCTTCCTTCCTTCCTTCCTTCCTTCCTCCCTCCCTCCCTCCCTCCCTCCCTCCCTCTTTCTTTTTTCTTTATTGATATATTAGAGAGACAGAGGAAGGGAGAGGGAGTGAGGTAAACAGCGATGAGAGAGACCATTGACTGGCTGCCTCCTGCATGCCCCGCACTGTGGATCGGGCCCACAACTTGGGCATTGTGCCCTGACCGGGAAATGAACCAGCAACCTTTTAGTGCATGAGTCGATGCTCAACCACTTAGCCACACCAGCCAGGCCATAATGCATGTCTTTCATTAAAAAATAATAACATGCCCTGGCTGGTGTGGCTCAGCGGTTAGAGCGTCGGCCTGCGGTCCAGAGAGACCCGGGTTCGGTTCCCGCTAAGGGCACGTACCTCGGTTGCAGTTTGTCCCCGGCCCTGGTTGGTCGTGCGGGTGGCAGCCACTCGATGTGTCCCTTTCACATCGATGTTTCTCTCTCTCTCTCTGAACAAAGAATGAAAAAGTGTCCTCGGGTGAGGATAAAAAAAAAAAAAAAAAAAGAAAGAAACTTCATAGCGAAACTGTAACTATATAAGGTGATAGATTTGTTAACTAACCTTATTGTGGTAATCATTTCACAATATTAACATATATCAAATCATTACGTTGTACAACTTAAATGTATACAATGTTACATGTCAGTTATATCTCAATAAAGGGGAAAAAAGAAACTTTATAGCAATTGGACAGAGTAATTTTATGTCTACTTAACCTAACAACAAAAAATAAGCTACTATTTTTACCTTTTACTTATTTTTTTGTATGTGCCCCTAGCGGGAACCAAACCCAGGACTCTCTCTGGTCCTGGGCTGACGCTCCAACCACTGAGCAAAACTGGCCAGGGCTCCTTTTTCTTATTTTTCTGGTGATCCATTTTTATTATATTTTACAAAAGTACCAATAAGAGAGGGACTAGAATTTTTTAAAAGGCACTTAACACAGATAGCTTGGAACAACTCAACTGCTGAAGAAGCAAATCCTCAAAGACTTTTTCAAACTTTTACTACTTTCAGTTACTGTTCTCATAAATGTGAAGAAAAAAAAAGTAGGAAAAGATTTTAAATGCAGAAAGAAAATAATATCACTTAAAATATTCTTACACTCTGGCTTTACAAAAGGCATCATGATGTAAGGGTAAACATAACAGACTTTCAGCTTTATATTTTAATCAGAAACACTACATGGATTTTTAAAATTATTATTTACTGTAGCATATTTCATATAAGGTTCTTAACCCTGACTGATTCCCATTAATTGCAAGTTATACCTAAAACCATTAAGTATTATTTATACATAAATGGGGAAACATTTAACAAATTTGCCTAAGGTGAAAGACTTTCCAGTACAGAACTTGCAGCTCTTGACTCTCAATGTTAATTTTTTCCATAATCTAACAGAACATGTTAGAACTCATTGAAGAATATGTCCATTGAAACCAGCAACAGAACACCTTAGAGGAACACCTTAGAACTCCCTCTACTTGTGCATCTGTGATCTTCAATACCAAGTCTATTTTCTTAAACTCAAAATAAGGAAGACATTTAGAAAACAATTTTTTAAAATTTAACTTTATAGTTACAGTATTTTAAGTTACAGTATTTCAGATTTACTGGCAATAAAATTACTTCAACTTTATAATCTTACAGAACTGACTCAAAGGCTTAATTTGCTCTGACAAGGTAAAGCAAAGTGGCAAGTGAACAAGTAAAATGTCCTGAAGCAAAGTCTAGTTCATTAAACTTATTACTTAAAACTCCAAACTTCATCCAGCTGGTGTGGCTCAGTAGGTGAGCATCAATCTATGTACCAGGAGGTCACTGGTTCAATTCCCAGCCAGGACACATGCCTGGGTTTCAGGCGGGATCCCCAGTGGAGGGCATTCAGGAGGCAGCCAATCGGTATTGATGCTTCTCTCACCAATGTTTCTCTCTCTCTCCCTCTCCCTAAATATCAATAAAAGTATTTTAAAAAATAAAAATAAAACTCCAAACTTCAACAATCATACTACTTTAAAATGTACATTATAATTCCACTTGGATATATCCTATATTCGTAAATAATCCATGCTGACATAAAGTGTAAAACATGTTCTATCTACCATAATTTACCTAGCTTTCCAGAGTTAATCTGTAAAAACACACTCGAAACACCTAAAATACAAATACATTAAGCATTTCTTTAAAAAAATTTTATAGAACCCTCAAGACAAAAAATCTTTAAAATGATTAAGTAATGAGACTAGTATAAAATTCATTCCCCTAACTGGAGAGCATCTTGGGCAAAAATGGTACGTCTTCATCCACTAAACAATGTTAATGTTACAAGAAAAAAAAAAAAAAAGGTAAATTTATAAGACTATAACAGGTTAGCACATGATTTTTAAACAATTAATACATCATACTCAGTACACAAAGGAAAAGGCTTTCACTGGAACTTTCCAACTTATACAGTAAACTGTATTTATCATACTCTAAAGTTGAGGCATTTAACATACTGCTTACTACAGCTGCACTTTTATTCCATCATGTCAATCAGAAATCTAAATATATCCTAGAAAAGAATAAACTCTACTCAAAAAGACAGACTGTAATGTGTTATTAGATTTTTTTGAATGATCCCCATTTCTGTGGTGTAAACAAAGTTAGGCAGATCCTTTAGAAATTTTTTTGCAATTTTCATTAGAAAAGCAATGTTGATAAAAGACCCTTTTTCTTATTTATGAGTTGTAAAAGGAAATTATAGCTATCTGTGTTGAATAATCTTGCGACGGACTTATGACAACAATCGCATATACAATGTAAAAATAAAAATACAAGAGGAAAAACAGATAATCTGGCTTTCATTGTATACTTGCCAGGGTATTCAGCACCCCAAACAAGAAGACAAAAACAGTAGCTTAAAAATCAAATATGCTTTTTCCTAGGGGGTTATTTTCCCTATTAACTGAAATGGAAATGGCAGAGTATAGTTTAAACCTACCTTCCACACATCATTAAGGACCAAAAATGAATCATTTAATCTTTTTGTCAATATTGACAGTAAAATATTGGATATGGGGAATATGAGCAAATGTGTTCCCTACTTCATAATAACAGGAAAGTCACCCTTTAAAAACTGAAATTATAAAAATAAAATGGCAGACAGCCACTTGGCTACCAAAATGATTAAAATTAACCATAACTTTTCTTCTGACTTCAAAAGCAATCAAGAAATTGATAGAATTTTAATTGATTAGAAGAGGCAAGTTATCACCTCAAATTGAATGCAACTTTTGCATAAGAGTATATGTAGGTGCTTCCTAAAACATTATGACTAGTAAATATATCTCTCCATCTCTGAAACAAATCATCAGAATATGGTCTCCCAAACCCCTATTACTTTCCAATTTAAGAGAAGAAATTGTTGAAACTTTCAGAAGCGCTGTTCAATAAAAACTTAAGTGTATACATCTAAATAATTATGGCAGCAGGAAAGAACAGGGGAATGTTCCATGAAAAGAACATCTCTTAATAGAACAATCTATTAATCAAGCTTTAAAAATGTATCTCCAGCCCTAGCCAGTTTGGCTCAGCGGTTAGAGCATCTGCCTGCGGTCCACAGAGACCGGGGTTCAGTTCCTGCTAAGGGCGCGTACCTAAGCTGCAGTTTGTCCCTGGCCCTGGTTGGGTCATGAGGGTGGAGGCCACTCAATGTGTCCCTTTCACGTCAATGTTTCTCTCTCTCTCTTCCTCTCTCCCCCTCCCACTCTGTCTGAATAAAAAATTGAAAAATGTCCTCGGGTGAAGATAAAAAAATATATGTAATATATATATATATGTATCTCCATAGAACAAAGGAAGCTATATAGAAGGAAAATGAAAGGAAAATAAGAAAGAGAAAGACAACAATGTTTGGTGGGGGGCAGGATAGGGAGGAGGGTGTAGGGAGAGGGGAAAAGGAGAAATATCTGTAACAAAAATGAATTAATAAACTAAAAAAAGAAAGAGAGAGAAAGAAAAGAGAAGGAAAAAAAGAAAAGAATATTCACTCCTTACAGAATAGAACTGGAGTGCTTTGGTAACTACTTGATGAACGGTAGGACCATTAAACAATTTTTAAAGCAGGAAATACACTCTTGACTCAACACCAATAAACTTCACAATGTTGAACACACTCATGTTAAAAAGTATATTTACTCAAGTGTTCAGAAAATTCAACTTTTCCTCTACCTTGGTGAAAAGATCCGCGGGAAGGAGTGCTGTCTCCACTCACGCTTGAAGTTCCTGTCTGAATTTTAATTTTCCAAGGGAGCACTTCTGGGTTCCTTTCTCAGTTGTCATGCTCTACGTTTCACTTTAGGCAGGCACTTTCTCAGTTGTCATGTCTAGGTTCCCCTTCCGGCAGGCAAAAGTCTTGTTGCTTCGGCTTACCTGGCTGTATGTAAACTGCAACTACTACCACTCCTCCTCGACCTTTGGGGATGTTAGCTGACCTAAATGCTTGCGATCCTTACTTGTACTCGCCGGACGAAAAGAACCACGAGAATGCCACATAGGGATTGTCTCAAGGCACCAGCTGCCGCCAGGCCCGCGTGGCTTTTTCACTTCCCAGTACTGATCAGGCGAGAGGAATGAAGGCTTGACATGCACGGGTCACGCGACTAGCCAGCTGTGCCCGGACCCTCATTCGAACAAAACCCCACACGTAACACTTACCTTGTATGACATGCTCTGGAGAGATGGTCTTCTTTTCCGATTTGTTGCAAATCTCATTGGCTTCAGAAGATATAAGGTGAATGAATTCAGTGCAGCAGTTCACTACCAGCTCCCGGGCATCGTTGGCCACCCGGACATTGGGGAGAGTCTCTTTGATCATCTTATTGATAGCAGCTCTGGGTATAGTCAGATCATCATCGTTGCCAGATGAGGAAGCCATCGTATCTTCCTGGCTTTCGCGCCCCGACTTTTAAAAACTCCCCGGTGCGGGTCCACCACTCCACAAAGATTCTTCAAAAGGCTGCCCTCGGAGTGGTCCCGGGGCACTGCGAGAAGAGGGTGCCGAAAATGAAGGGTGGGGGCTGGCACTGGAGGGCGGGGAACCCCCGTGTGTAAGATTTAGGGCGAGGTTAGGAGGAAAATGGGGGGGGGCAGGATTCTGGGGGCAGCACTGCCCAGGTCGGGAAGGGAAGCAAGGTGGTCAGGAATTTGAGCACCGGGAACCACCTCCGTGTCTCCTCAGAGGGGAGGGCGCCGTCGCCTAGCCGGTCCCCAGCGGCGCCGCAGCACAGGCAAGGTCCCGGGACACGGGCCTCGCTGCCGTCCCGGGCGGACACACACAGCGGGCTTGGCTCTACAGAGCCGGAGCCCCCGCCGCCGCCGCCGCCAGCAGCCGTTGCCGCCGCCTCGGCCAAACCATCCTTCAGACACCCACGCCGCCGCCTCACAACATGTCGGCCGCGGTCGCTGCTGGAACCCAGGCGGGCGCCTGGGAACGACTACGGACCGAGTCAGGCCCAGGAGGCCGCCGTGGCCGTTTAGCCCGAACGCAGATCGTGGAAGTCGAAACCGCGGCAACGGTGGTCCCTCAAGAGGCCAGAGAAGAAGGTTTGCTGGAAGCCTCTCCCGACACCCTCTGCGCTACCGGAAGCCTCACCCCCCCAGGTCCCCCTCCCTTCCCGACCGAGTTCCGGGTGTACTGACGCCCTTCCCCCACCCGCGCCTTCCCGCCGTTCTCGCGTCCCCCACTTCCTCCTGCCGGGGTCCCCGCACGCGCCCCGGGATCCCGCGTCTTCATGGGGACCGCGGCCGGGCGAGCACGCGCCTCGCGGTACCGGGGAGCCCCGTGCACGCGCCTGCTCTGCGCTGCCGCGCCAGACTGCGCATGGCGGGAGGGGCGGGGTCGCCTCAGCCCGCTGAGGCCTCAGACCCGCTCCCCGGCTCGTTCCCGCACAAAGGAGCGCTGGTTTTCGTTTAAAGGACTCTTTGCTGTTTCTCAAATAGCCCTAATTGGGATTGAAGAGGAACAAGGCCTGAGCTCGGGAATGGGCTACGGGGAAAGCAGAATCCCGTGTGTCTGCCTGTGCCTGCGCGGTCTGGAGGGATAGCTTTTGATGGTGACCAGCAGACGTTATTGGGATCAAAGTTCTCCATGGTCCTCCACACAGTTTCGTTTTATGGGAAACAAAACGTGCAGAGCAGTGACTTGCCCTCCTAGTCACTACTAATGGCTAAACTGGAAGCTAAACATACGATACAACATAGTGGAAATGATGTGTAGGGTACAATGGGCCGTATTAAGAGGTTCCAACTTGGCCATTATTCTTGTGTATTGCATGTTGGCTTCTGGAGAGGAGGAAAAAAGTATGTGAAAGATTAAGCTGCTCTGAGTTTTGTTTCTGTCTGGGGTGACTAGTAATATCAAAGTGGGTTAAGTTCTTCACAAAAATTGTATTATTTTTATGTTTAAAAAATTGTAAATCCTCACCTGAGGATATTTTTTCCACTGATTTTTTAAAAAACTTTTTTTCGCCCTGGCCGGTATGGCTCAGCGGTTACAGCGTCAGCCTGAGGTCCAGAGACACCCGGGTTCGGTTCCCGCTAAGGGCACGTACCTCGGTTGCAGTTTGTTCCCGGCCCTGGTTGGGTCATGCGGGAGGCAACCACTCCATGTGTCCCTTTCACGTCGATGTTTCTATCTCTCCCTCTCACTCTATCTGAACAAAATATGAAAAAATGTCCTCGAGTGAGGATTTAAAAAATAATAATAAAACTTTTTTTTTCTTTTTTTATTTATTTTAGAGAGAGAAGAAGGGGAACACAGAGAGGGAAACATGTTTGAGAGCGAATATTTGATTGGCCGCCTCCTGCGTGCCTCCCACTGGGGTTTGGGCCCACGACCTGGGCATGTGCCCTGATGGGGAATCTAACCAGCAGCCTCTTGGTGCATGGGTTGACACTCAACCACTGAGTAACATGGGCCAGGACAAAAGTTGCATTTAAAAAAAATTAAGTTTGTCATATTGTAATTTGTCATACTGAAGAGTGTGTTATAAATAGTGGTGTGTTGCAATTTCTAAGTAAACCGCATACCATTTAAGTCGGTTTTACCACTTTAATCAGATACATTTTTCCTGAAACATTGGACAGCAACTGGCTTGTTTGAAATGTTTTCTTTTTCTTTTTTTAAATCCTCACCCCAGGATATTTTTCCATTTATCTTCAGAGAGACAGAGAAAGAAACATCAATGTGAGAGAGACACATTGATTGGTTGCCTCTGGTCAGGGGACTGAACCGTAACAGAGTTACCTGCCCTTGACTGGAATCAACTCTTTGGTCCTTGGATCGATGCTCTAACGGCTGAGCCAAATGGGCCAGGGCTGAAATGTTTTCTTAAACCATGTTAAGACCCTAGCCCTGGCTGGTATGACTCAAGTGGTTGAGCATCATCCAGTGCACTGAAATTCCGACTCAGAGCACACGCCCAGCTTGCCAGTTTTATCCCAGGTTGAGTGCATACGTGAGGCAACCGATCCATGTTTCTCTCTCACATCAATGTTTCTCTCCCTCTCTTCCTCTCTTTCTAAAAAAAATCAGTGAAAGTATATTTTAAAAAAAGGAAAGAAATGGCAGTTTTCCCCAGCTTTGGGTGGTGGCTGCTTCAGCTTCCCATTGGAGGAGGGTGAGGTGGTGTGGACAGCGGCTCCGGAACCCCGCGCCCTGCCACCTGCAGCCCCGCACCCGCCCGCCTCTGGTCAGGGGACTGAACCGTAACAGAGTTTCGTGCCGCATCCCAAGCCCACTGCCGCGTCCCAAGCCTGCCGCTTCTCACCTCAGCGTCCGGCTGCCGCGGTCCACCCAGTGGCTCAGATGCAGGCCATTAAGTGTGTGGTGGTGGGAGACGGAGCTGTGGGTAAAACCTGCCTGCTGATCAGTTACACAACCAATGCATTTCCTGGAGAGTATATCCCCACTGTCCTTGACAACTATTCTGCCAATGTAATGGTAGATGGAAAACCGGTGAATCTGGGCTTATGGGATACTGCTGGACAAGATAATGACAGATTATGTCCCCTCTCCTATCCACAGACAGATGTATTCTTAATTTGCTTTTCTCTTGTGAGTCCTGCGTCATTTGAAAATGTTTGTGCAAAGTGGTATCCTGAAGTGTGACACCATTGTCCCAACACTCCCATCATCCTGGTGGGGACTAAGCTTGATCTTAGGGATGATAAAGACACAATTGAGAAACTGAAGGAGAAGCTCACACCCATCACCTATCCGCAGGGTTTAGCCACGGCTAAGGAGATCGGTGCTGTGAAATACCTGGAGTGCTCAGCTCTCACAGAGCAAGGCCTCAGGACAGTGTTGGATGAAGCTATCCCAGCATTTCTCTGCCCGCCTCCCATCAAGAAGAGGAAGAGAAAATGCCTGCTGTTGTAAATGCCTGGGCCCTCTGCCCATGCCCTGTCCCCTGGGAACCTTTGTATGCTTTGCTCAAAAACGATGGAGCCTTCCCATTCAATGCCAAGTTTTTGTTACAAATTAGTTTTTCCATAAACCCATTTTGAACCAATTAGTAACTTTTAGGTTTTACTTAAAGAAATAAGTGTAAGAGTTCAAACTTTAACATTCTATTAAAATTTAGCCCTAAAATGACAAAAAGAACGAAAGAAATGAAAGAAAAGAAAGGAGGAAAGAAGAGAAATAAAAGACCTTGATGTGGCACCTTCAGGAGACCTTGGTTAATTGCACTGTTTTTTTCATTTGGCATTTTCGCCCGTATACTTTCAGGTTCTTTAATTTCTAAAGTTGCAGACACTTGTTCTTCAGTGCTACTAAGTTTAACCAAACCAAAATTTTTTCGATAAAACAATATCTAAAATTATCTTAAACCCTGCCGGTTTGGCTCAGCAGTTAGAGCGTTGGCCTGTGGTCCCTGGAGACCCTGGTTCGGTTCCCGCTAAGGGCATGTACCTCGGTTGCAGTTTGTCCCTGGCCCTGGTTGGGTCGTGTGGGTGGCAACCACTCCATGTGTCCCTTTCACATTGATGTTTCTCTCTCTCTCTTTCCCTCCCACTCTATCTGATCAAAAAATGAAAAAATGGCTAGTGGTCAAGACGGCAGCATAGGTAAACGTGGTATCGCGTCCTCCCACAATCACCTCAAAGTTACAACTAAACTACAGAACAACCATCATTCAAAGCCACCTGAAATCAAGCTGAATGGAAGTCATACAACTACAAAATTAAAGAAGGAGCTGCATCGAGACTGGTAGGAGGGGCGGAGGCGCGACAGGCTGGTCCCATACCCACGTGTGGCGGATAAAAATCAGGAGGCTCCCTCGGCTGGTAGGATCCTCCCTGAGGACTGAGGGATCCCTGTCCCACACCAGGTGCCCCGCTCAGGGTTCCAGTGACAGGAAGAGAAGTCCCTATAACTTCCGGCTAGAAACACCAGCGGGAACTAAGGCTCAGGGAGGCTGAAGCGGCTGGAGCCCCAGGTAGCTGATCTTAAAGGGCCTGTGCATGGACTTACTTGGACTTACTCCCTCTAAGCTCAGAAGGAAAGTAGCATGAGGGGCACCAGAGACATACAGGGAAGAACTGAGCTATTTGGCACTGGAGGGAGGGCTGGAGAAGGGGCTTTCTCCTAGACAGACTTCATTTGGTGAGCCCTTCCCTGGGACGGCAGACAACTGCCATTATCTGGGACTCCAGCAACTTGGCTCAAACTTTTTGCCCCGCCCTGGTGATTCCCTGAGGCCCCGCCCCCACCCAACTTTCAGGCCCACCCAAACTGTTGCCAGTTGATTTACCATAGGATTGGCCTGTCTTAGATCCTGCTTCAGGTTTTCCTAAATTCTGTCAAACAAGCAGCATCTGGTCTCAGCTAGCCCCATACCTCTCGTTAAGTAATAATAGAAACAAACACAGGGAGGCAGCCAAAATGAGAAGACAAAGAAACAGGTCCCAAATGAAAGAGCAGAACAGAACTCCAGGAAAAGAACTAGCGAAATGGAGATAAGCAACCTAACAGACGCTGAGTTCAAAACACTGCTTATAAGGATGCTCAATGAACTTAGTGAGAACCTCAGTGAACTTAGTGAGGGCCTCAAGAGCATAAAAAAGGAGCAGTCAGAAATGAAGGAGGCACTAACTGAAATAAATAATAATTTACACAGATTCAATAATAGAGTAGGTAAAGCCAAGAAGCAAACCATTGATTTGGAATCTAAGGAAGCAAAAGACACCCAATCAGAACAGCAAAAAGAAAAAAAGAATCCAAAAAAATAAGGATGGTATAAGGAGCCTCTGGGACAACTTCAAGCGTGCCAACATTCGCATCTTGGGGGTGCCAGAAGGAGAAGAGAGAGAACAAGAAATCGAAAACCTATTTGAAACAATAATGGCAGAAAACTTTCCTAACTTGGTGAAGGAAACCGACATACAAGTCCAGAGAGAGTCCCAAACAAGATGAACCCCAAGACGCCCACACCAAGACATATCATCATCAAAATGCAAAAGGTTCCAGACAAAGAGAGAATCTTAAAAGCAGCAAGAGAAAAGCAGATACTTATCTACAAGGGAGTTCCCATTAGACTGTCAGCTGATTTCTCAAAAGAAACTTTGCAGGCCA